ATCTAATTTATTATAGGAATGCATAATTATGATTAATAAATTAATAGAAATGCATCTCAGAAATTTTATTTCGCGATCCTTGAATAAATATAATCCAAAGCAGCGATCATGGTATTTATACTCTATTCTGTACTCGAGCTGTAGATTGCAGTTTATCGATAATTCAAGCAGCCGCCTGAAGTTGGTTCGATGTAGTCGATAGTATCGCGACTAAAAGTATCGTTGGTTACTATCGACTAAATCGAAAGTTTTTAGTCGATGGTGTGCCGTGTGCCCAAGATGTGCAGCAATGAGCAGGATGAGCAGTGAGTTGCTCCCTGCGAGCATTATCATCTTTTGTCTATATTGCGTACTGTCAAGTTCTTTAAATTGCAATAAAAAATATATTTGATTCGGGTATTTTGTAATCGTTTCTCGTTAAGTAAGTTATGAACTGGTTTATGATAGCAAGATACTTGTCATTTTTATTGGAACAAGATTTCTAATTAAACAATTTATCTCACGTTACGATCGTGCTCGAGTGCTACTCTATTTAAGTTGCGCAGTATAAACATAGTTTCGAAGTAGATATAATTAAACACAATGAGGTTGACGATAACCTTGTTTCGAATGGGCGAATGGTCGAAGAAATACGCGAATTTACCAGATCGTTATATTAAACGCGTGACAGAGAAGGTACGTAATTTTCTATGTACTCTACTGTACGGTGTACTCATGTTTTTAATTTACTGACAGATTTACTGGAAGCCACCACCTGGCAAACCAAATTACCTTCCACGCACAATAGAGGCAAACAAGAAGTTGTACTGGTCTATCCACAGGCCTTGGACTACTTCGTTCCAAGCAGAAAATTTTATAGTGAAAAGGAGACAATCTATTCCAGTTGAGCCCATCAAAAATTGGAGTTTCTTCAGAGGAGATCGGGTATATACATTTACAAACAGTATGAGAGAATACATAATCGAAGTATGGATTCTTTAGGTGGAACTATTATTTGGTCCAGACAAAGGGAAACAAGGGATTGTGAAGGATATCATACAAGAAAGAAATTGGATTATTGTACAAGGATTGAATACAAAACTAATAAAACAAGGAAAGACTAAAGATTTTCCTGGACTTTGTATGCTCGTAGAACAACCATTGTTGGTCACTACTCAAGTTTTATTAGTAGACCCTTTCGACTTGTAAATATAATTTGTCGAACTCTCTTTCAAATATATTTGTATGTAATAATTAATATAGAATAATTTTAGGAAGGGAACTCCGATTGAATGGAGGTGGACTGAAGACGGTGAACACGTGAGGGTATCTACTAGAACAAATAGGATTATTCCCATGCCCGTATCGAGCGTGGAAACTATAGATTATAAGACTCCTGATGTATACGTTGAACAGCCCAAAGACACTACTGCGGACGATGTCAAAGAAATAACGTTTCGAGTACGTGTACAATCGTTTTCATTAAATTTTATTCTTGGAGGACGACGAAGAATTGGTTTTATTACTTGCAGCCGGAGTTGAAGACATTCGAAATGGATATCATGGAGAAGATGGACATCAAAGAGGATCGTGTACCAAAAAAATATTATTGGTATTAACGTTGTTGAATGTATAATGTTTTTACAATGTAATGTAACATGATAATTTACAAGCGGATTCGTTCGCTGCGTATATAAAATAGGTTTTTTTTCCTTAAACGGATTGCGTTTTTGAATCTCCTCTCATCCTTAGAACCAAAGCCGCAAAACATGGATTCAAGTACTTACACACCGACACCTTTGCAATTTAGTCATATAAAAAAAACCGTTAAATCTTAGAATGAACTATTTTTTTATAGCATTTATCGTTTGTCAGGGAGTTCGTCGAAGATGAGCCGTTCTTTTATTAATGCTTCTTAGTTTTATATTAACACACATACATATCACAGCATAATTTTTAATAAACGCAAACCTAGAAACGAACGTCAGTCTACATTTAAATAAGTCAGTAATACATTATATTAACATTTCTTCTTTTTATATTATATAGCCATCTTTTTTTAGATCAATTGCATTTCGAATTCTTATTTACAAATTTTCAATCTTCGTTCACCCTCCGTTTAAATTAACTTCGTGGAGCGAGAAGTAACATAACGGGCGATCAGAAGAAGCGCTGCTCTGCTTTACAGTAATCAAACGTATTCAAACAAATGCTAAAGTTATATAGTTGAATGCTACAACAAATAAAGAAGATAAAGAAAAAACGAGACGATTCAAACAATAATCAACAATACGCGTAAGCACGAGTTCTAAGTAGCGTTCCGACGAAACTTTACTTTCTTCAAAGTAAAAAAATGCTAAGTACCCGCGTGAGAATCAGTAAAGAGATCGTTCGAACCGATATAATTATTCATACCCGTTCGAATCGCGAGTCGATCAGAAGGTGTTGCAACGAGTTTATTTATTAATTGACTCTACCATTCACGAGGATTTGGTGGCAGGGTGCCTGACTAGGAGGTTCACTTCGCCGTCGTGTAGCTTCTTCATCAAGGACCAAGCCTCGATCCTCGACATCCGCGTCACGTCGTACCCGTTTACTTCCAACAATTGGTCCCCTGCCTTCAAGGCACCAGTCTTTTCGGCAGCACCTCCTGCGAGATTAAAAAGGTTCAGTAGAAATTTAAGAAGCGAAACATTACGCGAGAAGCTGCTAATTAGAACGTACCGGTGAATATTTTTTTGATCATCAACGGCCTGTCGCCGAGAGGACTGTCCCTGCCCCCTTCGAGACTGAATCCTAGACCAGCTCCGTCTTTGTACACCGCTACGACTGAAGGCGGACCCCACGCAGTATCTTCAACGATCTCGTTCGTCTCGAATCCTTAAACAACCGGACGATCATCACCTATTGCGCCTCGACAACGCACATTGCGAAAGAAAGTTCGTGTCCTACCTTCGATGATTGTTTCGACGCTCGCGGTCCGTGACTTCAATTTACACCCCTCCTCCGTTCTCGATCTTGAAACAACGAGGACGACTTCTGATCTAGGCTGCTTCAGTACCGCTATGCTCTCCCTGTGCGTGAGACCCTGCGTACTTCTACCGTTTATGCTAAGGATTCTGTCTCCCCGCTGCACGCGACCATCCTTGTCAGCTATGGAATGAGCCAGCACCCGGTGAACCGTGATCTCCTTGATCTCGCAGTCAGCACCCCCGGCTAAAGCGATCCCGACGCTACCCGTGGGATTTTCCTTGTGAAGCAATACGACCACCACATCGTGAGCACCACGAGCCTCCTCGAGGCTCGCTTCTTCCACCAGCTGCGCCAGTTCTTGCTGCGAGATTAAGCTCGTGCTGCTGGCTAATGAACTGATGCTACCGAACTGCTCGCTGCAGCATCTGTCCGTGTCCATGTCCGTACCAGATGGAGAAACGTTCTCGTCCACGCTGCTGTCTAAGCTCGGGAATCGGTTATGCGAAGGCGGTGTGGTCGCCTGACCAGTGGGACTTGCTTCCAACGCTTTCTTCATGTCCGTGACACTTGCGCTCCTTCGATTCAAACTCCGACTAGTCGGGATCTTTGACAAAAGAGACGTTTTCGATCTCTCGACTTCCGTCGTCTCATCACCGCTGCTGTCGGCTAATCTGGATTTCCCTAGCGTCGGAATCTTCGAGCTTTGAGACTTATCTTCGTTCCAAGAATCGTTCAGAGTGGACGAAGATCTCCTGACGTATCGACTGTCTCTCGTTTCCCACGATCTTCCCTGGCCGTTCTTCTCGATCTTCGTTTCGTTCTGATTCCGCGATAACTTGCTTTCCGTCTTCGCGCTCAAGATGTCTTCCAAACTCATTTGACTCTTCGACCGACCGAAACTCCCGTCGTCTACGTGTATCGCCGATCTGGACCTACTCTTCGTCGTAAGGATGGTCAAAAGATCGTTCTGATCGTCTGTTGGTTTCTTCAAGGGAATATTCGAGACGCACCGTTGCACGGATTCATCCTTTCTATTTATCGATGCCGATTTCGTCTCCTCGATCACCGATTTATTATGAGTCACCGAAGTATTATTCGCGCTATCAGTCTCGGATTTTTTCTCGATTTTATTCGTCGGTTTCTCGTTGGGTTTCGATCTGACCAGAGCTTTCGCCTCTGTACGCACCCACATCTTCAAATCATTCGATGGCTCCATCATCTCGAACTTCGACGACCTCACTGTCGTAGGAATCACACTTTTCTTCGGACACAATTCCGAAACCTCGGCTTCCTTCTGGAACATTTCGTCCTCCTCGTAAGAATCTGTTACCTCGATATAAGCGATCTTTACATCCTGTGTAAAAGTTTCCTTCGCACGATTCCTCTGATAATTGTCACCGTTCTCAGCGATAGTGGACCTAGAGACTTCATCCGGGAACTTCCTCTGAATCAATGGCGATCCGTTCAAATCCCTGCCACTCCTGCACCTCGCGCTGGCTAGAATATTCTTCCGATTGATGGCCTCTACGCTCTGCGGTTTCAACACTCTTCTAGACAGAGACTCCGCGCTCGCCTGCGAACCGGAGGTGAGAGTCGAAGAGGTGCTGCAATTGGTATCAGTACTATTGGATCGCTTCAGCTGCCTCTGAGGAATCTGAGAGGTCCTGGAATCCGTGATGGGCGATCGAACGTCGGAGCTGCTGCTGCTCGACGACGATCTCTCCGAAACGAAAGTCCTATCACCGAGGATGTTCGATCTTAACTCCACGTTAGATTCCCTCGGATAAGTCCTGGGACTGTCCATGATTATGGCTCGTCGTTGATAATTAGTTTCCGTAGAAACGTACGATCTCTCGGATGAGACTGTGGATCGTTCCGAAGGTACGGGGGACATGGGAGGACTAAAGCCGCGAGAGATGCTGCTCTGCGAGCTGCTCACTGCCGAATCATTGTCCGAATCGTCGTAATCCATTCTCGATTTTCTTTGCACGGCTTTCGGTCTGTTGCGCAAGCCTTCCGGCGAGCTGGTCGCCGAAGCGAATTCGAAACTGTAGTCACTTCTCGTCGGACTGCAGATGCTCTCGAGGCTCTTCGGAGGCTCGGAGATCGTAGGCGTGGTACCAGTCGTCGTAGCCGGGGAACTTTTCGTATTTACGGTGGTGGGCGAGCCGTAAACTGCTAGACTCTTTCTCTTGAAAGCCGGAGAGTACTTCGAGTGAATCTGAGGTGCTGGCATCTTGAAAGACGTTGTGGCTTTCAAAGGCATGCTAGCTGTGCTCGCGTTGCTCGCTAAAGAACTCTGGGAACCCCATTTATCTTGAATACTCGCCTTTGGAAGCTGTAACACATAATGAATATCCAAATGCTTACATATAATCGCCGAGTAGATAGTATTAAAGAGTGTGAGCACCGCTCCTCGATGATATAATTAAATGTGCATATATTGAATTTACATATATTTTGAAATTGATGCAATTTTAAAATATGATACAATATTATTTAAGCTCACCTGGTGCAAAAGTATCGAATCCCTCGACTTGATTTCCGGCAGATCGACGATCGGCGTATCAATCGGAATAGCTTCTTTTTCTGGAATAACTAAACCCCTCAATTTCGAAATCGATCTCCTCCTCTGTTCGATCAGCTGGTTTAAACTGGTCCTTCTTATATCCTCGCTGGGCCTCGTAAACGTAGACGCCAGCGAGCTGGTTCTCGTAATCTGGGGTCCCGCCGACTGATCACTGGTCCCTGAATTCTGGCCGTACGGTATAGATCCGGAAAAACTCGTAGCACGAGATAACGCGGGCGTGGTGATAGGCTTCAATGTGACGATTGGAGGACTCTGGCTCGTCAATGAATAATTCTTCACCGGCGATTTGGGAGTCTCGAACGAACTTATCAACGGTGTAGTTGTAAGTGGCTTTTGTGGAACGATGGGGAACGTCTTGGACGTGTGAACCGTCGGCGAGCTCACTGGAGAACTCTGCGTCACACTGGGCGTTCGCCTGTACTTCTTCGCGGGATCCACGCTTCTACCCGAATCGGTCAGATCAAACGAACTTTGCGTTCTATCAGCGAAGAAAGTTCTTTCCTTTTGAGTCGAATTCTTCTCGTCGCTGCAGACGTCCTCCGTCGATTTGTATTTCGACAATCTCCTGCTCGTCGGAGTCGGGACGATTACTGGGTTTGGGAACAAGGGTCCGTCTAAACTGCTCTGAGAGGAGAACATCGCGATTTTATCTCTGACGGATCTCTCAGATTTGTCATCTTGTCTCCAGAGTTCACCGTTCAGTGAATACTTTCTCTGCGTCGGTTCTACGATCGGATTTCTCGTGTAGGGAGGAGGAATCGTTTCCAGCTTGGGTGGACCTGAAACAAATCCATTTCCGTGTTGCGTTTAATCGACCATCGTCGAAGCTCATACAATCTTAATTTCCGAGACGCGGGAATCTACCTGTGAGCGGCAAGGGTGGCGGTGTGTCCGGCTCCTTCTCGCGTTCCTCCTCGACACCCGGCGCGTCTTTATGATAGTACCCCGTGATTTCGATCTTCTTCTCAGCCAACAACACGTTACCGTTACCTTGGTTCCCGTAGCTGGCGTAGTTGGTCACGGCCGCGGCCTTTTTAACGAAGTCGTCGGACGGCTTGACATCGGGTACCATCATCTGGTTGTCCGTCTCGTCGACGCTCATTTTCCCGTTTATCTCGATACTCGGCAGACCGATCTTATCTTCCACGCTCGTGGATCTGTTGTCCGGCATAATGACGCTCTTTTCGATTAGTTTGAAGTCGTTGAACGATTCGCTCTCGTCGCAAACGAGACGGCCGTTCATCGTCGACGTCCTCGTCGGCGTTGTGCCAGTCGTCACGAAACGGTACTGCTGCTGGCTGTTGCCACCGAACTCTTGGTAGGCAGCTGGGAACTCGTCCCCGTCCGGGGGCAGGCGCTGACCGCCTCCGCAGTTGTCCATCCTACCATTTACCGTCTCTAAAATCACACCAACACATGGTGTATCGGTTATCCGTTTAAAACTATGCCCGTGCTCAAGATCGTTGCTTTCGAAAATAGAGCCACTCCATCGATTTCAGAACGCTCTCTGTCGAACTCGGTCATAAACCTTGAGAAGCAATCACGAATTATGCAACGTTTCATTGTGTCTTATTGCCATGTGAATCGATGGGAATTTGTTCAGCGACTCCTTCGGAACGATTTAATATTCCCGGGACACGCCTAGATGGAAACTAGATGTCCAGCGAATTTCTTATAAAATTATAGACCCACATAGATTTGATTTACATTTCTATTCTCTCTTAGCGAATTTAGAACTCGTGCGTAAAATTCGGAAATCGATTCACGGTACCCTGCGCTCCGAGTCGATCCTCGATACGCACGCGTCATTGATCCACTCGAGCATCTCGAATAGCTCTACAAGCTACGGAGCAAGATTTATTAAAGGAGACAGGAATAGGTGCACGAAAATATATAAAATGATATAAGGAAGAAGTTTAAGTTCGAATCGACGGACTTTTTATTTAAAGCTTCCCGTTTATCGCGTAAAGGAATTTTAATCTACGTAATTGAGATATTCCCATTTGGTCCGGTTCTATCAGTAACGCTGTTATGATTCACGTTCAACCGTGTTTAGTCTTCGAATCCGGAAGAGAAACCGCTTCATTTGCATCGGAACACCTTCACCCAATCATAAAATATTAGACGGAAAGACGACTTCTTATCCTTTAGGCAGATCGACTCCAATTTTTTCTGATGCAAATTTTTCCCTTACGGCACATGTAGATTAGAGAAAGATGAACAAGATATTTAACGATTAGGAAGAATTCAGGAAGCCAAGGACGAGACGGTCGCGGGAAAGGAGTTAAGAGGATATTTTAGTGGTTTACGCAAGCTTACTTTCACGCGACGGTCTACATAGTTAACCCGAGTGTCCTGGGGATCCTGTAAATCCTGATCTCGCGAATCCAAGGATTTCTACATTCTAACGCTGATAAAACCTTTCGCGCACGAGTTATCTCGTTTGACCTGTGAATAATTAATTGCCAAATTATTCCTACTACTGGTGTCAACATTCCAATGATTTGCATATCAATTTAATATGAGAAAATGTGTAAATGATTTGTCAAACATCGGAGGAAATCCTTATTAGAGTTCGTCTTGTAATAAATGCATGAAACACGCAATTATTTATGAACCGACCTGATGCAACAATTTTATCAAGGAGAGACATTTCACGGTTGAATCGCGTTCGCGTGGCGAGTCTCGCGGGTAATAAACCGCGTCCCGCTAACTTCTGATTAACATTCCTAGCCAGTTCGATGGAACTAATCGGCCGAGCGTGCAACCGATCGTCACACGATACACTATGCACCACGTGCCATCGGAAATTCCATGTGGACCGGCGCGCGGCAAGCCGGTATTACGTAATATTTGTAGACGAACCGCGCCTACGAGTATCCTGCATTCTCGCTGAAACGACGATTCACGATTTCGAGTCGGACGATCTCGGAAGAGAGATAAGGACATCTCGCGATAATGATAACTGTAAAGCAGTTGGAATCCCTCGCCGATTTCCGGCGAATTCGCAGCGGGACGACGCGCGTTTTAATTCGCATACCTCGGGCACTTGTCGAGGGTAACGCGGCTGGAAATGCGTTTACGCACACACTCTCGCTACCCGATGGAGGCACAAATATGGTGCGATCGCTCGGACCTAAGCTTTCCGTTTCCACTGCTACCAATTAGTCTCGTACTTCGGCAATTTTAATAATTTACTTTAGATAAGTCTTCTAACGTTCATTCGAAGATTCACGAAAGGAATATTAAGTATCATCCTTCTGACACATCGTTCAGCTCGCAGGCTTACATTACCTGAGTAATTTTAATCATCCTCTAAAATTCACTTCAAGACTCGTTCAGAGATTCGAGAAAGGAAACAAGATCTAAACGCCCATTAAATTTCATCTTCCCGATTGAACTTGCAGATTGACTCGCTTCTACTGACCTCGACTCTTGGCAGAAGTGTTTCATCACGACTGACATAACGCGAATTCTTCTCACAATGATATCTCCGGTTCCGCGGAAACTAACTGGACCGAGACGTCGACTGAATTCCACGGTTAAAGATGTGACCGGAGGTCGCCGGAGGACCGATTCGGAGAAAAAGCGGCGGTGGAACCAAGGGGACCAAAGGGGCGAAAGACCCGTTCTCACCGGTGAGAAGGCTCTCGTAAGACTGGACGACATTGCTCGCCGAGGCCAGCTTCCGCGGTTACCACCGTAATGCGTTTGCGAGAGAAGGGATAAAACTCGACGGTTTTCGGTACGGGTATCTGTCCCCAGATCTCAGATTCTCGATCATCTCTCACCATGGATCCACTCCACTTACGTAAAATGAACGCTGCGTCCGAGTCCTTTCATCGTATCAATTCAACAGATTTTTCTTTTTAAAAATCACGGTTTTAATCCTCGCGAAAATTGATCGAATGCTGGTAAGCAATTTTTATGATTCCAGTAATACGTTAATTGGCACAGAGTTTCCCCGGGTTGAAAAATCACTGTCCTGGATCGACTCTTACGAAACTGGTTTCCGGTGAACCTACTGAAAACCGAGCTGCTCCGAGATTCAAGCTACTTACTGGCAGCTTTGTGATATAACGAAACAATGACTGATGAAGAAAATCGCATCTGGCAATGAATGAATCAATATCAAGTGACATCATTAAGTATGCGTAGTCGAGGAATCATACTTTTCTTAAGAACTATTAACACTTACACAATGGTATTGTTTCCTGAAATCCATCATACGATCTTCTATGCAGAAATTAAAATATTAACATTCCAAAGCACGGAACAATCATGAATTATAATAACATAAGTATTTTTGATAGCCTAACGTCTGACTGTTTATATAATTGCGCCGGAGTTTCTAATGAATGACTTACGACAGCGTGTCGAAGGTGAGGAAAAAAGGCGTAGTCACGCGAAGGTTAAGATCTATTAATCGCGAATAAACGACGCTGCTATCAGATCGATCGGCTGATTAATCTCGCGCGTGTGTCAACCGGGTTTTCGCAGCTAGAAATCGCGGCGAACGTGCGCGACGTCAGAACGCGAACAGGAAGCATCGTTCCATTATTGCGTCCGTACCGATAACATCGAAGCATCGATCTTTTAACCCGGGCTTATCGTTCCCCGATCGCTGAGATAGCTTTGATTGGATTCGAGGCAATATTTTACGGATCGTCGATACGAACGCGGGATATTAGCTCGTCGGTTTAAGGATGTATAGGCTATACACTTAAACAATGCTAGCATGTTGAATTTATTATTAGAGACTCCTATTACTATTAAAAAGCTACTTGCAAAATTTTAAATCAATTCATGGGTTTTTTTGAAAAATTATAGTGACTTAAAATTTGCATGTACTCTTATGGTACTCAGCAATAACCCAAAGAAAACTTTCTGGTATTTGGTGTGCATGCGCGAAGTTGGAAGAA